CTGGCGGGTGGCGGGTGGGTGGCGGCTGGTGGGTGGCGACTGGTGGGTGGCGACTGGTGGGTGGCAGGTGGCGACTGGTGGGTGGTGAGTGAGCCGCTGAGACTGCAGCCCCGGCCTCTCAGCGCCCGTCCAAACCCTCTTTCCGCTGCCCCACTGACGCTGCGGCTCCCAGAAGGAGACTGGGGGGCTGGGGTTTGCAGCCCTTTCCGGCTCTCGCCCCCGGCTGCACGGGGCAGGGTGTGCACGGGAGGCGAACCGGCTGGCTTGGGTCCCACGAGGACGCTCGCTGGGCGTCAGTGCTGGTCTTCACGAAAACCGCACCAGGCCCGGCTCAGGGGCTGCTCCTGGGTGCGGTCCCCCCACCCCCACCACGCTTACTTGGGGGTCTTCTCTGCGGACCCCGCCACGGCAAGTCCTTGCACGCTGTGCGCTCGGCCGTGAGCGCCATGGGGACAAAGCGCCATGGGGACAAAGCGCCATGGGGACAAAGCGCCATGGGGACAAAGCGCCATGGGGACAGGCTCGCGGGGCCAAGTCTGGGGCCTCTCCTCTCTGACCCGCCCTCTCACCTAAGACATCTCGTCCCCGTTTCTGCCCCACAGAGCCCCACCCCCAGCACTGCCAGCTGGAAGGGACTTTAAAAAGTCACTGTCAGCTGGGCGTGGTGGCTCACAGCCGTAATCCTAGCACCCTGGGAGGCCGAGGTGGGCAGATCGCTCAAGGTCAGGAGTTTGAAACCAGCCTGAGCAAGAGCGAGACCCCGTCTCTACTATAAATAGAACGAAATTAATTGGACAACTAAAAATATATAGAAAACAAAATTAGCCGGGCATGGTCGCGCATGCCTGTAGTCCCAGCTACTCGGGAGGCTGAGGCAGGAGGATCGCTTGAGCCCAGGCGTCTGAGGTTGCTGTGAGCGAGGCTGTTGCCACGGCACTGTAGCCCGGGCAACAGAGAGAGACTCTGTCTCAAAAAAGAAAAAACAGAAAGTCGCAGTCCGCAGCCCTCCCAGGCCCCGCCCTGCGCCAGTGTGACTCCAGGCCCGGTGCTCCCGGGCGTGGCGTGCGGCTCGCGCTGCTGCGCGTCTGTTGCGGGAGTGCTGAGTGCGAGTGGCCGGCCGCCTGGTGAGACGCCTGCGCCCGCACCGCAGTCGAAGGAGGGAGCTCGCTGGGGCCGCTTTTTCACGAGACGGGCGAGGAGCGAACACTCGACCATGCCTGGGCCTGTGGTCAAGGCCGCACGCTGTGCCTGGCGCCGCGACAGTCAGGATGAGAAGTACCGAGGACTCCTACCCCGGCTAGTGCCCAACCCAGACGCCCGCCCGCCGCCGCCGCGCCGGTGGCCACGACAGCCAGCGCCCGACCCCAGCGCGCGGCGGCGGCTCGGCGAGCGCGCGACCCCCCGGCCTGGCTCCTGGAGGGGAGGCGGGAGAGCGGCCTCCCTTCTCCTTCCTCGGTCTCCTCCTCGCGACGTCGTGCCCCAAAGGACCCCGCGCTCACCGGCTGTCTGACGAGCCACTCGGTGCTCTTCGGATGAGAGGAGCGGCCGCCCCTGGCGCACAGAGACCAGCCACGGAGCTTTCGTAGACACGAGACAAGAGACAGGAGAGACAGGACAGAGACAGAAGGAGAGACAGGGAGACAAACAGACAGGAGAGAAGCAGAGAGACAGGAGGACAGGAGACTGGAGAAGGGAGACAGAGAGAGACAGGAGATGGGAGACAGAGAGAGAGACAGGAGATGGAGACAGAGAAAGAGACAGGAAGGAGAATGGAGACATGAGAGAGAGACAGGGAGATGGAGACAGAGAGACAGAGGAGCAGAGAGACAGGGAGAAAGACAGGGAGAGAGACAGAGAGAGAGGGGAGATAGCAGACAGGAGATGAGACAGAGAGGAGAGGAGACAGACAGAGACAGGGAGATGGAGACAGAGACAGAAGACAGAGATGGAGACAGACATTAAGGGAACCAGAGACAGGAGAAGAAAGACAGGAGAGGACGAGAAAGAGAGACAAGAAGAGGAGAGAGACACAGAGAGACAGGAGAAAACAGAGAGGACAGGGAGACAGGAGAGATAGAGACAAGAGAGACAGGGAGACAGAGAGATAGGAGACAGAGGACAGGAGACAGGGAAGACAGGGAACAGAGAGACAGGAGAAGGAGAGACAAGAGACAGGGAGCAGAGGAGAAGGGAAACAGGAGAGACAGGGAACAGATGAAGACAAGAACAGAAGGAGACAGGAGAGACAAGGGAGACAGAGACAGAGAGACAGGGAGCAGGGGACAGGAGAAGACGAGAGCTCCTGTGCGGCAACCTGGCTCCAAGGCCCTCCCGGGGGCTTCCCTTTATTTTAGAGCCGATCTCGACGTCCCCACACGCTCCCCCAGGACCCAGCCTCAATTTCCCAAGACATCCGCAGTGCCGGGCGGCACTCACTGTAACGAGGGCTCAGACGACACCGTGATCTCTCTGTCTCTGTTCCCCCCCCCCGCAGCGCGGTCCACCTTCTGGATGCCAACCCAACAACACCCTCATCAACGCTCGGCGGCCGTCCGAGGTGAGCAGAGAGTGGGGGCGGGCCGGGGCACGCCGAGGCGAACCCCAACAAGCGTGTTCTGAGCCACGTCCAGACAGCCAAGCAGCCGGGCTGACTGGGAGAGCAGGAAGACAACGGCTGGGGGACCTGGTTTTAATGACTTGTCGCTGCCAGGCCAGCAGCCCATGCTCATGCGTGCCGAGCCACTCGGTGTACAAAACTCATGTTGCGGAATAGCTCGCTGGTCTGCAGCCTGCGCATCCGTGTGCTGAGCAGACAGAGGCTGATCTTCGTCAACTCTGTGCATGGGTACTCTCACCGTCCTTCACCTGTGGGGGGAGAAACAGAGGGCAGGTCAGCTCACGCGCCCAGGGGCACACGCAGCTAGGGGGTGGGCAGGACAGCAGCACAAGCACCCTGTCTACACAGCCTGGCCCCCCACCCCTGCTGCTTGCCTCACACAGGGGCCTTAAAATGCAGGTGCCATCTTTGGGTCCCAGCCCCGCGTCTGCGGGATTGAAGGCTGAGCGGACACCCTGACAGTCATCTCAGGCCACGGGTGTGCAGGTGGGACCCGGTAGGCTGTACCTGCCGGGGAGACCACGATCACAGTCATCTCAGGGCTCCCAGGTGTGGCAGTGGGTCCGTGTAGGGCTGTACCTGCAGGGTGACCCCACGAGGTCACAGTCATCTCAGGTCCGGGCTGCAGCGGGACCCCGTGTAGGCGTACCTGCCAGGTGCCCCACGAGTCACCAGTCGTCTCAGTCCGGGGCTGCAGGCGACCCTGTGTAGGGCTTGTACCTGCCAGTGAACCCACGAATGTCACAGTCGTCTCAGGTCCCGGGCTGCAGGCGGGACCTGTGTAGGGCTGTACTTGCCGGGAGACCCCACGGTACACAGTCGTCTCAGTCCGGGCTCGCAAGCGGACCCTGTGTAGCTGTACCTTGCAGGGAACCCACGAGTCACAGTCGTCTCAGTCCCGGGCTGCAGCGACCCTGTGTGGGCTGTAACCTGCCGGAGACCCCACGAGTCACAGTCGTCTCAGCCTTTTCCTGCTCCTCAAGAACCGGCTGCCCAGTCCGGGTGTTCGGGTGGATAGCGGGCCCTGGATGGATTCAGACCAGCCCAACACAAAGAGCCTGACTGGTTGCTGGGCCGAGTTCCACTGCCCACTCCCCACCGTTTGCTCCCTCCACAGGAACGGCTTGGTTCATCTTCCACCACGTGCCCAACGGACCCTCTGCGGGAATAGTATTGCACGCGCACTCGGCAGACTCCGCTGGGGGAAGGTTCACAAACACGCGCCCACTCCAAACTACCGGAGTGGAGTCTGCCTGCCCGCGGGGCCGTTGCAGGATGGAGGATGAAACAACAGAAATAAACACAAATGCGCAGAAACACAAAGAAAAAACTGAGACACATACAGACGGTTTGACTCGAGAATAATACACCGGGTCCTTTTATTTTATACTCTAAAAGATTAAAGTTAGTTCCTTATATGTAACCACCCAGGTGTGGCAGCAATGCCGTAAACTCCAGAATACGCCTTAGGAAGCAGACGTCCCTGACTCAGAATTCCAGGCGTTGTCTAGGCAGCAGGCAAGATAAAAGACCAAGAGATTACAAGGATGGCAAGGTGAGCCACAGGGGCGGGGGCGTTTTCATCCCCAGCTTCTCTTGGGGTGACCCCTGAGATCTTCGGCTGAACCAACTGAACCCGGCGACTGCTGCATGGCTTAGGTCGCCCCTCCCTTGAGGGTCTCACCATCATCTGACACCAGCCATCCTTACGGGGTGGTACGGCAGCCGATCACAGGAATAATGTGTTTCATCAGTGTGGCCTCCAGCCCCCAGGCCGTGGGGCGGTACTCTGCTACCGCAGCTCAGGTCTTTGTTTTGCATCTAGGCAGCACCTGTTTATCACAGGAGCCGTCGAACAGATACTTTCAAACACTCTGGGCAGAACACGTACATTACTCACTAACTTCAATTCTTAAACTAGGAAAATACGTGTCAGTCCCCTGCAGTCCACCGAGGAGGGGCAGGGCTCAGGGCGCAGGTGAGGGCCGAGGGAGGTAGGGAGGGAGAGGAGAGAGAGGAACCTGCATGCACCGTGGTTGCCGGGCAGGGAGGCCCTTCCTTGGTGCTCACGCCCGGGATGAACCTCGAGTCCCGCCGCAGCGAGAGGGTCCTGCTCCGGCCGTCATCCCCTGGGGTGTCTTCCTCCGCCCCCATGGCTGCCCTGCGAAACGGCTGCGGTTAGCCCACTTTGCAGATGGCACGTCTGAGGCTAGAGAGGCGAAGGGACTTACCCAAAGTCACAGCTCATGAGAGTGGTGCCGGGGCCACTGCCGTCTCACTCCAGGAGGGAGGGAAGGAAAACTGAACGGTGGCCTCGTGGGCAGCGCCGGGAGCCTCGACTGCCCCCGCCCCGTGGTGGGCAGAGTGGGCGCCTCAGGAGCCCGGAGGGAGAGCCGGGTTGTCTCCTCGAGTCGGGCAGGCGCTGAGCGAGGCCACGGACCCTGCCCGAGGCAAAGAGGAGCCTTGGGTCAGCGTTGCAGACAGACTTCCCAAGAATGTGCTTGACTTGGAGCCCGGGCTAATAACTGCCCAAAGCAGTGTCAGTCCTGGTGTGGACATTGCCGTGTGGCCTTGAGCAATGTCCTCCGCCTCTCTTCTAGACCTCAGTTTCCTCGTCTGCACCTCTGAGAGGTCAGATAGTCCCGATTTGGTCCGAGCAAGGCGGGATGAGGCAGGTTTCTCGCCTCCCTCACCATGAACCCTCCACCTTTGTTAACGCAGCCTGAGCGCGGGGCTGGTCTCCCGGGCACCGGGGAGCGAGCAGGGAGGCTGGTGCGGGAGGACGCCGGGGCCCACGTGGGAGCTGATGTGGCCCTGCTTGTCTCCCCGCAGGCTGGCATGATCATAGACAACGGGGTCAAAACCACGGTGGCCTCCGCCAAGGACAAGCGGCCCTTCCTCTCTGTCATCTCTGCCAGGTACTCAGCTCTCAGGGGACACAGGCCATGGCGCCTCGTGGTCCAGCCCCTTCCTCCCTCCCTCTAATTCATTCATTCATTCATTCATTCATTCATTCATTCATTCATGGAGCATCTGTTGAGCTCTTTCTCTGTGCCGGGCCTTGAGCTGGATGCGGGGGTGCTGCGGTGAGAGTCTGGGTTGGGGTTCAGGCCCCAGCGGCCAGAGGGAGGCGGAAACCCTGGAGGAATTCTTTGCAAAGCCAGCACCCGGCGAGCGGTCAGGGATGGGGCGAGGGCCGCGGCAGGTCGGACCCGGATGAAAGGTAGAGAGAAAGGAGAGAGGCTTCACCATTGACTGAGCGGGAAAGATCGTGCGGGCTGAGCTTATGCACACGTCTAGAGCTTAGCGGGAGGCTGGGGCTGCTTTTCAAGGGCCACCGGCAAGACCAGCACCCTGCAAAGGGACCGAGGGCCTGGCCCCCATCAGCTGCGGGTCACACTGGTAGCACGGTGGTGTCCACGGAACCCCGTTGCTGGACCTGACGTCAGTGGGCGTCCAGCTCCGCACCCCATCCTGGGCCGGGACGTGCCAGGAACAGGCACTCGCTCCAGGGCCTGCCGGGGACCCTCCAGCCCCTCCGCCCGGGCCCCTGCAGGCACCGCCTGCTGGTTTGGGACCGGCTGTCTGAGCTTGCCTCTGTGCCTCGACCCCACCCGGGGGCAGGCTCTGCAGTGCAGTGACGAGCAACAGAGGCGACGCGTGTGTAGCCTGCCGGGGGCTGGCCCGCAGGGGGCCTTCCTGCTCCTGAGATGAGCTCAGACAGTCCCTTCCGGAGCCCGGGCGATGCCAGTCGGTGTGTGTTGTCGGGGCCTTCTGGGGGCCCACCGGGAGCAGGCAGAGGCTCATGGAGCCCAGAGGGGGTGAGCTCAGCGGATGCCCCTCACCCACCGTGCCCCCCACCCCCCGGGCCGCAGGTACAGCCCCCACCAGGACGCCGACCCGCTGAAGCCCCGGGAGCCGGCCATCATCCGGCACTTCACCGCCTACAAGAACCAGGACCACGGCGCCTGGCTGCGCGGCGGGGACGTGTGGTTGGACAGCTGCCGGTGAGCAGGGGCGGGGTGAGGGGGTGGACACGCAGGGGACAGGACGCCCTCCCCACCCCCGCAGAGAGAGGGACGGGACAGGCCGGCGTTTGGCCTTCTCCTCCCCCAGCCGGGCAGGGCGCAGAACGGCAGCAGAGGCAAAAAAATAAATAAGCGAATCAAAAAATAAAATGTAAAACAGTGTATTGGCCCCAGCCCACAGTGCCAGGTGCGGTGGGTCATGATTTGCCTCCAGACAGTCACCGGGTCCCACCTCTGTCAATGTCACACGGGCTGCCGGCTAAGGGAGGGAAGGAGAAGGAAGCCGGAATATTCTAGGTACCCCCCGTGTGGCGGTGCCTTGGCTGTGTCTCTTTCTTTCCGTGTTTCTCCAAGATGAGGATTGTTTGTCTCCGTCTTGGAGATGCGAATCGCGGTCCAGCTCAGTGGGTGTCGCCAGGTGGCGTTTGCTCTGGGACTGGAAGCTCCGGCTCGCCAGGTTCCAAGGCCCCGGCGGAAAAGGCAGGGACTCCGAGTTCTGGCCTGAGGTCCCCAGTGGAGCCACCAGCTGGACACCTGCTGGACAAAGGCCGGCAGGGACAGGCGGCTGAGCTGGAGTTTGGTTTAAGGGAATGGTGTGAAATGTTCTCCTTGTCTGCTTTTTATATTAAAAACGGGGATCAGGCCGGGCACGGTGGCTCACGCCTGTCATCCTAGCACTCTGGGAGGCCGAGGCGGGCGGATTGCTGGAGGTCAGGAGTTTGAAACCAGCCTGAGCAAGAGCGAGACCCCGTCTCTACTATAAATAGAAAGAAATTAATTGGCCAACTAATATATATAGAAAAACTTAGCCGGGCATGGTGGCTCGTGCC